GGGGGGGGGGGGGGGGGAGCGCAATCTTTTGTGCTTAAATTCAAAGTTATAAACAAAAGAAGTTCCATCCCAGGAAACACACATATAACTGATACTTCGTGGTATATAATCAAGAAGGATCAAGAAAGTTGCATTGATATGTAACATATGTATATGATACGTATCCAGCAAGCACATATATAACTGAAATTTCTTATAATATAAATACGAAGGATCAAGAAATATGCATTGATATGTAACATACATATATGTATATGATATATAAATGCATGTTTATCTGACATATATCCAATCTTATGGGAATGGCACATAAAAAATACGTAACTGTATCGCTGACTGCCCAAGTAGGAATTTACTACTGTTATCAAAATGGCCCAATACCGATTTATGGTAAACGTTACTGGCATAGTACCAGATGCCAGTACGGGTTTAGTATTGGTGTAATACTGAGATGATAGAAAAGGGCCAGCATCGGAAAACAGTACTGTCACAGTACCGGAAATCAGTACTGTACCGGTATAAAAAAAGTATTGATTCCTAGCACTGGGGAAGTACCTATTCCTAGTACTGGGCCAGTATCGATTCCTAGTAATTTTTATTATTTATACAACTGTTAATATCACAACTATATAGTATGGAAAAAAAGATCAGACTATGACCGAGCTGCTCTCGTTTGTACATATACATGTCTATTTTTAATAGTCATATGAGGAAAAAATCTTCGGGACGATGGTTGGAATCGAACTCGAGTCTTCCGCTTGTCAGACAAGCATTCTTACTACAGAGGTTTTTATCTAGGTTTTGCGTAGTGACTTCTTCCGTTTTCCCATAAAGGACATTGGTATCGTCCGTTTTTCGGTACCAGCACAATACTAGCCCAATATCCTCTATTAGCAGATTGTATGCAATTCTTATTTGGTATCCAGTACTGATTCTACGAACAGAGCCAGGACCAATAATACAGTTTTTTTAATACTGGACCAGTATCGAAAACGACAAACACTTTTCGGTAATGTTTCAGTACACGTACGGTACGACTATCCAGTCTATCTAATCTTAGTACGGAGCCAGTACCAATAATACACTTTTTTTTTATATTAGGCACAGTACTGAACCAGTACCAAAACCGGACATCCGCTTTTCGGTATCGACCCAGCATTGGGCTATTTCTCCGTACTGGCGAAACGTATATGATTTCTACTTGGGATATAT